TTTTTTTTTAAGCATCATTCTTGAAAGTCTTATGCCTTTGAGTCCTCCATGCATTCCTAATTTAACTGTTATTTCATTTATTCATTTTTTTGAAAACAGGCGTAGCTAGCCTGGGAAGGCTGACAGATTTTGAGATCCAACAATGAAAGGGAGCAGTTAGAAAAATGCCGATTCTCCTTATGGCTTTTGTTTGCTTAATTAGCATTTCTCCATTTTGCACTAACCACTAAAGGTCCCATAAAGACATCTGGAAATTAAATCCTAATTCATCAGGAAATGCCTTATTCTGGAGTTAAATGATAGTTCTCTAACACAGTAAATTCTTCTGCTGTCTTGTACTTCTCCTTTTATCTCTTTGTAGGGATGTACAGCCTGCATTTGAGTTGTGCTTTATTGTTTTACATTGTTCCCTGGGCAACTCCAATTCTTAATATTGACCTCCCAATGTTAGAGTTTTACCTCACCCTCTTTCTTGATAAGTGTAGCCTGGTAACATTCTTGAAAAATAGAGGCGGTAACTAAGATCAAGTACCTTGGCAAAAAATGTTCCACTGCATGAAATAGATGCTGTATATTGTCTGTATTAGTAGACACCTCTCACTCTTAGATTAATGACCAGCTCTGATAAAGGCATGAACCCATCTATTACACTCATGACACCCTCCAACAAACTTTTCAGTTATAAAATATTTGGGGTTTTTCTGTTCTGTTTCTCAGGTCCCACGCTCACACTGCAATGCATAGCGTCCCTCTTCCTTAATTCTCCTCAGAAACTGAAGTCACGTGCCATACAGTTTGACTTGTGTTCCCAAATACATGTAATATTTGCCAATGCCACAGTCCTACACCCCTCCCACTGTCAGTTACACCATCTCTTGCCGTGAACTCTCCCAATGTGCAAAACGTAAAGCATTTTGAGTGAATTTATCTCAGTCAAATGAAGGTGTGTTTAGCGGAATGCCAGACCAGCAGAGCACTGCTGCGTTCACTCTTTATCTTTCTTGCTATTGCTCTCTCTTTCCATGTGTTATCTGTTGTTGCAGGTTATTGCTGAATTGCACAGTTCTTCCTGCACTCATTTCTGGATTACAGATTAACATCAGACAAAAAATTTAAAAAAGAAAGAAACAAGAAGCAATCTTCTACATCATTTCTTCTCCCTCAGGCTCCGGAGAAAGTTTAATCCACACAGGCTTGTTTTCCGTGCCTCTTAATGCTGCTGTGACCTTCCTTAGCACTGAGCTTTGTCCTACCGAGCTTTCTAAATCTCCTTTTTCTGCTTCCACTCTCAAATAGTGCCCATCTTTTGTTCACCAGTTTGCCCTCTAACTTCTACATCTTGAGAAACACTTCTTGCAGGAAAAAAAAAAAAAAGTCATCTTGTTTGAAAACATCATCCATTGTAATGTGTGATTTTTAACATTTCAGCTGTTTTCTTTTAAAATCAACTTCCTCTTGTCATAGCAATTGCGTATTCCCTGCTGACTGGAGACCCTGATTATTTTTTTTTTGTAGCAACAGGCCATTGCAGTACTGTCATTTAAACAGGTCTGGTGTTACAGTAGCGAAGAATACACTAAAAATGCGTCCACGGGTTATGTGTTTGTTGCGTTCTCAGCCTTGTTTCCCCAATTCTTCTACCCCTTTTTCCTTTAATAAAAGGTGAACTCTTGCAGAACTGGAGCATACCAGACTGTGCCACAGGGGCAAGTTCCTACACATCAAAGCAAATCGTAAGACAGGAGAAAGGGCTAAGAGAGGCAAACTTGCATTTTTCCTTGACACCTCCCTATTTATGCTTGGTGGCTGCTGTTGCTGACAGTGTAGATCTCCAGTAGTAAGCTAAAACCATTTGATGTCACTGAAGAGATAGGAGCTGTAGCCAGACCTAGCTCTTCTTAGGGGTGCCAGCACCCTGCATCTGCAGCACCACTTCAAACTCCAGCCGTGTTGCTAGCTGCTGTGGGCTTGCATGACTCAAAGAAACAACCCACATAGTCAGGATCATGTCATAAGTAAAACAGTCAACCACCTATTGTAGCTTCTAAGGGAAACTTACTCAGGGTAACAGTCTACATTGACATCACTGGGAATTTTCTTACTTTCCAAAGGAATTGGGCTCTCAAATTGCTCAGCTTTAAGGTATGCTGGTAATTGTTTTGCCTTCATCCTGTCCAAGAGTCTTTTAGGTCCAATCTGTCTCTTACAATACAAGAATTCCAGGAAGGCAGGGAGGGGAGAAAAGCTACCATACTCACTGTGTCCGGTTTATTTTTAACAGAGATTTCCTTGGATGAGTGCTCCCATTCAAGTTGGATTAGTCGGATTCTGGTAAGTGATTTTTCGGGTTACATCTCCTATTTTAAGAGATAGTTGTAGATTTTTTGGAGAAAGTAGCAATATTTGCACTTTGTTTAAAGGAAAAAAGTTGAGAGACTTAATGAGGCTACAGCAGTTACTTCACTTCCATATCTGTAATTGATAATACCATATTAAAAAAAGCCATTAGTAATGAAGAAGCTGCCAAGAAAAGCAGGAGGGAAAAAGAGAGGGAGTGGCAAAAAAAGGCATGTAGCAGCCTGATTAGAAAAGACGCTTTAGCTGCTGCCTCCATATACAAAAATTGGAATCTAATCCAGTAGGTTGATGAATTCTTGAAACATTTGGTTAACAAATTTTTGCTGTTGTCCAGCATTTTATGTTGTCATGCACACCAATGCAAAACACTGAACGGACATCAGATGATAATTTTATACACACTTGTAAGCATGGTATTGATGCATTTAGTACTACATTGCAGGTACATGATTTCATATGGTATAATGCAATGAGCTATAATGCAGTGAGAAATAAAGGTTACATAGCACTTCATGGAACTTTACCTCACTGTGTACCAAAAAAAAAAAGCTTTCTACTAGAAGACCATGCCTAAGGGTTTTGAAACTTCTTTTAGCACCCTAAATATTGCAAACCCATTTTTGTCTCCTCTAGTCTTGTGTTTGCAACACCCCTGTGTTGTGCGCTGTTTCCTCAAAAAAGGTACGTATTCTGTTACATTATTCTTACTTTAATGTCACACTCCCAGGTGCATGCAAGGTACTGCATAAAATACAGAAACAAGTGGTCATTGCCTCCCAGAGCATACAGTCTTAATTCCCATATAACAAGTGTGATAAACATGAGAATATTCAGAAAAGTAATAACTATGTTACTCATCAGTAATATACAATAGCTTAATGGGGCTCATTTTGTTTACAAACTCGTAGCAGCTTGAGACACAGCTACATAGGGATAGTGAACGAGAGGTGTGGGCAAGTAGTTTAACCATGCTATTTTAAGCTAAGTTTGAGCTTGGTAATGCAGAGTTAAGAATCACTGGCATGATTCATAAAAAAGGCTAATGTCATCCAAACAATATTCATGTCCAGTAAGGTTATGGCTTCATTAAATACAGTCAGAGCCCATTTTATTTTCAGCTAGAAGCTCCTCTGGTTATACAGAACTCTTGACTACATGCTTGTAATTTGATAAATATTTTTCCATAAAGAATTTTTCATCAATACAGAAATAGCTCAGTACTGAAAATTGTCTTAGAAACAATATTCATTATAGATTGAAATCATAATGAGACCTGGATGAGTTACCTACAAATAGCTCAAGTTTCCAGTATGAACAGGGTTCTTAAATTCAACTAAGCCTTATTATTGGTTTTTTAAACTTGACAAGCTGCCAACTGTACCTTAAACAATGCAAGCTGGAGCTGAATCCGTTAAAATATTGAGCAACTGAAGTAGCTCTTGACTTCCAGAAGACAATACTGAAATCTTATCCGATGCAATTGCTTTACAACAAAGCAGTCAGACAGGTTTCCCTGCCTGGCATAGAATAGAGAATTGTGGTAAATAAGTGTCACTAGGCTACCTGGAGATGACTTCACAAACTAGCATAGCAAGTGTGGTACAGTTCTTGATTTTAACCAGGGCTCTCCATTTCATGGAAAGATTAGACCTTAAACTGTATTTAAGAAATTGCAGCTGTTAAATGACCTGGCAGCTTAATTCACTTTACTGTGAGATGACTCTTACAAAAATAAACCTTTTATTCAACTGAATAAAATCAGGCAGTAAGTTAAATAGGCAAGTACATTATATTTAATAAAAACACCTTTAGGAAGGTAAGTTTCTATCACCAGCAACAACCTCAGGCAAGTAAGTAGATTCCTACCTTTATGGTAGTAGCAACAGCCATTTCTTGAAGCTATAGCCTATCTTGTCGCCTTTTAAGCAGGGATTCATTTGCCCTGGTCTTGTGAGCATAATTCCTTTGTAAGAAGTTAAAAAAGACTTAAAAACTCTTCACAATCCAGGAAATTTAACCAGATGCATTGTCCATCTTATTTTACATTCAAGTGCTTGTTATATATAATCATTTTACTGTTTCTTTTGCTTAGTTCTATGTCCGTAACACGCTTGGAGCCAGAATTGCAAGCCAAGATCCGAGAGAACAGCCCTGAACTAGAACGTGTATACTTTAATAAAGGATTATAATTCAAGGAAGGGAAAATATCTTTCAAGGAGGATCTTGTGAACTTATTTTTGAATTATGTGCCAACATAGTTGAAGATGAAAACTCAACTTTTAACTTGTCCTTTTGTTAAACAACTTTGATCTTCTGCATTATTTTATATTTAAAGACTTTCCTTGTTGTAGTGTTTAAGTTACAAAAGGTCATTTTGTCCACTTTGGTATCAATTAAAAGTTTAACCATACATATCCAAAAATGTTTACATAAGCTCTCAAGCAGCTACAATAACAATAAACAAGCACACAAAGAAAAATAGATGTTATCATATTGGATTTGCCACCTGTTCCAGTAATAGTGGGGCAGGGATCTCTTTGTGAAAAGTCATAGGGCAACTGAACGAAGTTGCCACCCTCTGCCAGCAGCAGGACGTGTAGCTGAACGTGACAGAAGATTATGCAGGAAGGGCTTTTTACCAGGAGGCTGATTTGGTTGTACATTTTCCCTGTTGGCACAGAACCGTTTCTTTAAGGTCGATGTTGGAGGAGCCTGGAGCTTCTGCACGGTGTGGTACTGTTCAGCAATACAAGCTGCTTTCTTCCGCAGGTCTAGTTTTACCAGCATCATGTTGTTCTGCAGTTCTGCCAGTGTTTGGTCCTGAGAAAGGGAAGGCAATATTATAAAGATATGACAAGTTGGCTAACTCCCTGGTTACTGTGAACTGAAGAGGATAAACTGCCTTCGCCAAAATTCACTAGCTGGTGTGCTAAATAGGGCCATGCCTAAAAGCTTCTGCTGTCAACAGTGTAGCTGTTCAGTAACAAAATAGGAACAGTAAGGCTCAGAAAAAGCTGAATCCATCCCACTGCAAACATGCTGCCATAGCAACTGTGATAGAGTGAAGCAGATAAGGAAATGAGAACTCTGAATTCTCCTGCCTTAAGTGCAGGCTGTCAGTTAACTTGAAAAGGAACAATTTAGGTCTCCTTTGGATAGTTAAGCATGGAGTCTGACTCAGCCATTGAAAAAGTTAGCAATATAGCTCCCTTAATGTAATAGGCAGTATGTGTCTAGAGAATAAGTCATTTGCAGCTGCAAGAACCTAGGTGATTCTGATGATTATGGCAAAGAGCATAGACTATATCCTCCTGTGCAACCCATAGCAAAACAGCCACATTACCTGTCTGGCCAGAATGTCGTCACATGTACAGAGGGTTTCTCGAAGTTTCCCTGCACTTGTACTGTGGCAGCACGCCCTCTCTGCAGACTGAAGAGACTCCCCAAGTTTTTGTAATTCTGAACGCAACAATCTGACATTCTGCAGGAGAGAGAGGTTTAATACAACAGCTAGTTTTGACATTGCTCTGCAAAAAAAGCCACTCCAGGGTAATTCAGACATGCAGTACTGAGAGAGGATCCCATCTGAGTGAGGTACCACAGCCTTCTACCTCTCTAGTTATGGTTTGTTTTCAACAGACCCATTTCAGCTTCAACCATTTGTTTAAAAACCTGGAAACAGCAGCTCCAAAAACTGTTTAAACCAGCAACCCTGCAAGTGTTCCTTTCTGTAACATAGAGAGATAGAGTTACCTTCTGTCCGTCTTCCAGCTTCCTGTCTACATCCACAGTAATGGGTTTGGCAGAGGGAGGTGGCTCCAGTAATTTCTGGTACTTGCGCAATTCTAGAAACAGACAAAAAGTAGTGAGCAACAGTACATTCATAAGCTTCCAGTGTTTCTGAAGTCAGGACTTCCCTTGAAATGAGCTGCCACAGGCAAGGTGAGAAAAGCTTTTTGCAGACATGCACAAACATTCCAGGCTTCTCCCTTTCGGTTGCACAAAGGGACTTTAGAATTTGAACAGGGAGATGATCCTGCCCTAAAGTCTAGTATCATGTGAAAATGAAGTGAAACCCTGTCCATCCAGCACATTATTCCTATCATCTACAACTCGTAACAGTGGTTTCAGGATGTCCGAATCCATTGTATCCTACTGAAAAAAGTATCTCTAACCCTCTGTACAAGGATCGCTCAGGCATAGTTCAGAACCAGTGCAGCATCACTGTCTTACCTGCTGTTGCGGTATTTAACTCCATTTGACATTGCTCCAGTTTGGCTTTAGTATCTACCAGCTCCTGTTGTAGAGTGCATGAGTTAGCCACTCGCTTTGATCGACGCAAGCCTTGCCCCGAGTCCTTTTGCTTAGTATCCAGGCTCTCCAATTTCTGTTTTGCCTCCTCCAGAGCAGCTTGGAGCTCCTCAATCTTCTCATCACGCTCCTTAGAAAGCAAGTTTGTTCAAATATTCAACAAGATTCTCTTAACACAGCTTTTTCTGAAACTTTCAATGTCTTTCTCCTGGGAGACTTTCTCAATCACACACTTCACATGTTGGACCCACAGCCTTTAATGTCCTTTCAGTGAAAAAAGTGAACCCGTTTCCTGGGAGCCTAAACCACTCTTCTACAGCCTTCTAGAGACAAGGGATTTTTTGAGAGTTGGCATCTTCAGAGAGGTCTGCAACAAGTCCCATAGGCTACTCAAACGCCATAGCATGAAAAATGTAGACAGGCCCATACCCATCATCACAACTAAGATTAAGAAGAGAAATTCACAGAACTCATGTTAATCTGAAGAGTGCAAAGCAAGCCATCAGCAAAAAGGAATAAGGGGGGAGAGAATCATGCTGAACAAATAGATATTCAGGATGGTTGCATATTAGTTTCTAGTTTAAGGGCTGAAAATTAGAAATCCTAGTGAACTACTGTAAAGCAGTAGACGAGAAGTAAAAATTGCGGATCAAGCTATCAAATAATACCACAAAAAAAAATAACAGCAAAAAGCAAAATCTTTCCTTTCAGTTTGCATAAGTCACCTTCCCAGAATCAAGTACCCCAGAGTCCCCTCCCAACCCACTGCCACTTTCCTGATGTCATTTCATTGCCCTGAAAATACCTGAATCTCCTCCTGGTAATAGTCGGTCAGTGACTCCTTCAGGTGATTCAGTTTATCCTCATACAGTTCCTCCAGCAGCTCCTTCTGAGCATCTATATGTTGGCTACAAAGAGAGCAAACAACTACATGTCAGGGTCTGGCAGTTCTCGGTACTGTAGCTCACCCTGAACACAGGGAGGAAGATCAGCATAAGCTGTACCTGCACCGTTGTTCCTTCTTTTGTATGTGCTCCAGCATCTCATTCCACATCTCCTCACGGAGGCGTATTTCTAGTTGCAGCTTCTCCTGCCGTTCTTGCACCAGCAGTTCTCGTGCAGCTTCCACTACACGCAACAAGTCCTGCAAGAAGGACACAAACTCCATTGCCCACACTGCACAACTGAATTAAGGCCTAGAATAAACTAGGTGATCCCATACCTATAGGCTGGGTGATCTAGGTTTAAGAGTCTTTTAGTTACTTGGAAAGAGAAGTTGCCAGGTTTGGTCTTAATTCCTCTCCCATGAGATGGCTTACTCAACACTGCACTCCAGATGGAGCCATCTCCAGAGCAGCTTCCCCTGCTGCATTGCCCAGGGCTACACCTGCATTTGCTACCTTGACACATTACAACACAAATCTCTGTAGGTATACAACTTCCATCTTTGATCTTTCAGCTATTCCAGCTGCCCACTTTGAGTATCTAGGAAGTTCGATTATTCTTCCTCAATTTAGCGGTGTGTTTTCCATGTTTTCTGATCTCTAGATTTCCCTTGCAGAATAGGGGTTATAGGTCTGCACCCAAGCTCTTACTGTCCCTATTCCACAGATGACAAAGTGTTTCCAAATTAAGCATGTGCTTCAGGGTTAGACCAACTGTGGAATGTTTTCCTCATGGATTCCCAGTTTTCTGGAGTCTGTATCCTTCTGAGGTTCTCTGTAACCTCTTGGTATAGTGATGAGCCCTAGATCCGCCCCCTAGGCCAAAGCTAACTCATGTTCTTGCCACTGTATCCATAAAGGCTGTAAAACAAACCACAACCCACCTCCTTCTCATACACGGAGACATCTGTTTCATCCTCACTGTCTTCTTCCAATTCCACTTCTTTTGCCTCTGCCTCTGGACCCTGGCTGGTTCGCCGATTGTGCTCTTTGATGATTGATTGTATGGATGGAAGTCCCAGCTTTGTGGGAGGCGCCTGGACAAGCTGAACGGGAAAAGGCCATCATTACTAATCCACAAAGCCTGGAAGTTGTGTAGTCTTTAAACACAGCACTTCTCTGCAACCTGCCAACCCTTTCAGTTTAGCAGAATCTAGAAATACCATAAAGGTAGTAATCCACTGGAGAAGCATAGGGAAGACTTGCAAGCACTCCCCCCTGCCTTAAGATGGGAAGGGGGCCATTCCCACAGAAGCTGGACATATCCCGACCATCCCATGATCCTGGTGTGTGCTACTTACCTGGCTGGCAATGGCTGAGAACTTGGCTACATACAGAGTTTCATCATACGTAGATGCACACTGATTAATGTTGACAATCATGCAAGAACACCCACGTCCAGTGAAGAAACCTTGGAACACACGGGTTAGCTTGCTGTCCCGGAAGGGAACTACAGTCTGCTTCAGCCTATGGGGAGAGACAAGAATGAGCCTGTGGGAAAGCAAAACAGCCTGCCCACGCACTCCCTGTGGAGTTCCAGGTACTCACTTGGACTGCTGGTTCTGGCGCAGGGCAGCAATGCAGCGACCCAGTGTGTGGAGGGAGGTATTGATGTTGTTTGCTTCTTTCATTCGGTCCCCGCTTTTCTGGTCTTTGCAGCGCTCTGACCCCGCAAGGTCACACAGGGATAACCTGAGAAAACGCAGGCAATATTCACATAATCTACTAGGTTTGTCCTGTTCTAGCCAGGTTTACAATTCAGACACCCTGCGATCGCCTACCCTGCTCACCTTCCCAGCTTCCCCTGAAGGGCACAGAAGGCTCTTTTGGGGTGTATGGGCTACTGCTGGACAGAAAGGCTACCCTTAGCAGAGGGGTTACACAAGATAACAACACGAGCTTTGCAGTGTCAAGTTCAAAGATCCTTTGCCAGTCCTCAGGACAGCCACTTCCCAGGTACTGAGACAACCCATTTCCAGATAACTACATCCCAGGAACAGACATTGGCAGCACTTGGATCAGCTCTGCTGCAAGGGTAGGGTTACTCACATTTACCTTCATGCAAAAAGCCTGAGAACTACCTCAGAACTTCCTTTGAAATACTTTCAACAAGACCTTCCTCAAGATACTTCCCATACCCCAGATCCACAACAAAAGACACAGGAAAGTTGAGTCCACAGAGAACACCCCCAAATCCTAGAGATCACGAAACTTACTCGCTGATTTTTGGAACAATCTCGCTGCCACCTTTTTGCAAGTGCAGAATCCGAATGGAGAAGACGCTGTGACTGTAAAGAAACATGCAGATATTTTAAAAGCGAAATGCAACCTTCAAAAGCCCCTCAGAATTGTATGCCTGCCTAAACAACCCCCTCCCCCTTCAGACCTGCGACTGGAGTTCTGGTTCATGTGGGTGCTAGCAAAACTCTGGTTTTTCCGACCCAGTTTCAGAAGCTTCCAGGCTTCATCAGCGTCACGGACATTGATCCAGTTCAGATCTGGAAAAGCAGGCATGCATTGGGCAAGGAAGTTAGGAAACTGGTAGACAATTATCTCATCCCCAACTTCACCATTGCATTTCCTTAACAAACAACATTCCCGTAATCCAGACATCTGAGATCTTCAAGAGGCCATCATGCTCCCCAACACATCACTGCTAAGCCACCCACCCACTCAGTCCTCAAGTCTCCCTAGTAGGCCAATAAAAATGCCTTTCGGGTAAATCTACCTTTCACATAGGGGTTGCCAGTCTGGTCTTCACAGAGCCGCAGTGTCTGCCTCTTGCGGTTCTGGCCAGGTAAAGCTGGTTCTAACAAGTCATAGATTAGCTCATTGTAAATCTCAAAGAAGGAGACCCAGATGGAGAACTGCACATCTCCTGCATTGGTGAGTGAAATGCGATCCAAGTCAGCCCAGCGAGGGCCCAGTTCTGGGGAAGAGATAGAGAAAGGAAAAAAGAAAAAAAATCAGGATTGCAGCTTTTCATGGGTCCAACCTGAACTGTTTGGCTGTACAAAAAAGGAAGGCTATCCCAGACTCTAACCTATTCTATATACCTCCTCTCATTTGGACCTTCACTAATGCCTGTCCCCAGTCAGTCAGCTTAAGACTCCATTTAACAGCATCCTCCTTTCAGTGTAAGGACTTTTTATACAGTTGATCTTGATTCCAGAAGTCTAGGATATTTCATCCATGAACTCTTCCCAGTGTAAGTGGAGCTTTAGTCCTTGTTACGTCAATCACTCCATGCTTCTGGATACCTAATCAGCTAGCAGTTTCTAGGTTTGAACATCTGGGCACAGGTACTCAGTGCAGCCTGTCACTTTAGCACCCTGCTTTCCAGCTATCCCCATCGCATGGCATTCAGCTGCTCAGTAACCATATCCCTTGAAGTGTGTATCAGGGAACTTTTCATTTCACAAGGCTTGAGTTCCTGTGCAGTGGTGAGTTCTTCGTATGTTGGCAAGACATAGGTACAAAGTTCTTCAGCCCCGAAATCCTTCTCTTTCAAAGGGAAAACTGTGATACTACAGCACCTTTGCTCCCTTACCAACAACACAGGATCCAAACAGCCATCACCCTTTCTCCCCGCATCCTCCAGCAACAAGCAACAGGTAGTACACAACAGGCTTCCAGACATACCTTCTGTCTGGCTGATGTCTGAATGGTTGGTGAGTTGGCTAGATGAAGAGAGGCCAGCAACTCCACTGTCAAAACTGCCACTGGTGGTGGCCTGGAGCTGAGATTCGGCACTATGACTCCTCTTCAGTGGCGTTAACAACTCCTCCTGGAAGGAAACAAAGAACATGAGCATGTATGTAATATGGCACCATCCTTTCCCTATTATTATTAAACCTCCGAGAAGCTGTGTGCTTACCTCCCACAAACCACCCCGCAGCACGGTCTGCTTCCTGGTCTCCTCCTGTCGCACCTGCCTGCTGTCCAGCCAGATCACCTCACTGGAGAGGAACGGCTTCAGATCCATGGCTGGGTACAGCCGGTCCCCCACACTGTTGAAGATGACTGCTAAGGAGCGAGGCAGGATCCCCCCATCTTTATTGCTGCCTGAAGCAAGAACAACAACAGTGAGCTGAGCATTCACGCGTAGAAGCAGATAACTTCCTCAACAGGCTACTAACAACTGCTGCTCTCCTTACCCTGAATAGTGTGAGTCTTCCCTGAATTGGTGATGCCGTAGGTGTAAACCAGCCAGTTCTGCCCATTCAGCACATCTTTTACCACCTGCTTCATTGTCTCATCAAAGAACGATTTCTGCCCCACATCTGGTCCAAAGATCTGAGAACAAGACACATGAAAAATGGCCTCATGTAGATCTTTCTTATCTTTTGACTGTTGATGGTTGTTCAACTGATATTATGTAGTCCTTTGTTCCCTCAACTAGCCCCACATCATGAGCAAGAGACCCACCAGTAATTCCGGTCCAAGCCCCCTACAAAAATAAGGTGTTCGCTTGCTTAATCCAGTAACATCCGATATCACTACAGCCTCCAGTGCGTTTAGAACCTCATGAACAAAGCAAGAGTTTGGCATTTGCTGCCAAACAAGTTGTCAGGATCAGCTTAAAAAGAGAATAACTAAGGAAACTGCAATAGAAACAAACTTATGTAGAGAGGATTGTATGATACTACATAGTTCACACAGCGCCTTGGAATCGTTGTGTATTAGTAAGCCAGCTTTTCAACCTGTAAGGCTGATTTAAGCTTGAAAAACTTCCAGATGGACTGTTTGTCCCAGTTGCCTACCTGGGTGAAAGAGAATCTATGCGCTGCTTGTCCCACTCCACGTTCTGTGCTCCGCATGGTGAAGGAGTCCTTAGGGGCTCTTAGAAGAAGGGTCTCTGAATTCTCAATGCAGACACAGCCCTGAAGAATACATAAACCCTCATCATCACAATGGCTTACAAGAGGCCACAGCACAGACAGCAAAGGATAATAGCATCTCCCAGCAGGCACACAGGCAACCAGCTCAGAGACTGCTTCATTCAGTGCCTCACCTGGTCTTCCCCTTTTTCCACTTCTGTAGATTTCAGAGGTCGAACTCTCAGATACACCTTTAATTTTCCATTATTGTCTTCAGCTACAGCCTGGAAAAATCAGCACAGGTTAAACATGATAGCCAGAGAGGCAGTACACAGCCATCCATCAACACTAAAAGGAACCACAGCATGGAACACAGGCGTGGCTACCCTGACTAGCGCTCAGTATCTAATGGGCACCTCTCTGCTCCCAAAATACCCAGCAGTGCCAGAAGCTTTCTTAGGCATTTCCAGGCACACCAACATTTCTTTTGTTTATCTAGTGAATCAGATCAACAACCTGAAGACCTGACACCAAAACCAACCCCCAGATCAAGCACCACACTAAGAGGCATCGTATTAAGAGACACTTACTGACAGTGCCCTTCATAACGCACAATGCTTATAAGAGGAACTGCTGCTCCCAATGCAACATTTTGTTCTAGCCTCCTCTGAAGAGTCTGTGTTGGCCCTGCATCACAATGCCTTTGTGCAGGGACACAGCAGCCACAAGTCAAAACAAGTCAAATTCCTGTTTGTGACAGAAGAGCTCCAACCTCACCTGCTGGGAGCCCTCCAGATTTGGAGAGATGGCAGAGAACTCCGACAGCAGGTCCTTACGCACATCAGCCCCAAACCCTGCTGCTGTGGATTCAAGAACAGGGGATGCTGCAACATCATCATCAGAGAACAGCCCTGGGGAGGCAAGTGCTTGCGCCATGGCGTCTCACACGGCTCCTAGAGAAGAGGGGGCACTGTGAGAACATGGTGATGTTACAGCAGCCTTCTAGGAGTCCAAGCTTTCGCTCCCCACGCATACATCCCCCAGTCTGCCATCACTACCATATCCATCCATCCCTCCCTCCCTCACAAACGCAGAGCGCCAGACGGAACCGTCCCTCCACACACACACTGACACACAGGGTGCCGCTGCAAATGGGCGCAGACCCACCACAACCACTCAAAACCCCAGATGGGGCCCAACAGATATAACGCGCCCACAGGCCGCCCCACAGGGCCCCGTACACAAACCACGCACAGCGCTCCACACAGGCCGCCCCCCACAGCACGCACAGAGACCACCGCGCGGGGCCTGCCCGTACAGGCACGGTGACCAACTGCTACACGGGGCTCCTCCGCACGCACACGAAACCCCGC